TGAGAACTTCCAACCTCGGGGTGAGCTGGGGGGGGATTTTGGGGGGTCACTGAGAAGTTCCAGCCCTGGTGCTTGGGGGGGATTTTGGGGTCCCCGAGACCATCCAACCCCAGTGCTCGGGGTGAATTGGGGGGGATTTATGGGGGTCCCCTGAGACCTTCCAACCCCACTGCTCGGGGGGATTTTGGGGGACCTCTGAGACCTTCCAACCCCGGTGCTCAGGGAGGGATTTGGGGGTCCCCAAATCCTTCCAACGCCGGAGCTCAGGGTGAACTGGGGGGATTTGGGGGGTCCCTGAGAACTTCCAACCCCACTGCTTGGGGTAAGTTGGGGGGATTTTGGGGGGTCAGTGAGACCTCCCAGCTCAGGGTGAGCTGGAGGAGGATTTGGGGGTCCCCAGGACCTACCAGCTTGGGGTGAGTGTGAGGGAATCTGGGGGGTCCCCAAGACCTTCCAACCATGGTGAACTGGGGGGATTTGGGTGTCCCCAAAACCATCCCACCCCGCTGCTTGGGGTGAGCTGGGGGGATTTTGGGGGGTCCCCGTGATCTATCAGCTCAGGGTGAGCTGGAGGAGGATTTGGGGGTCCCTAAGACCTTCCAGCTTGGGGTGAGCTGTGGATTTTGGGGGGTCCCCAATACCTTCCAACCCTGGTGCTCAGGGAGGGATTTGGGGGTCCCTAAGACCTTCCAGCTTGGGGTGAGTGTGGGGAAATTTCGGGGGACCTCTGAGACCCTCCAACCGTGGTGCTCAGGGGGGGATTTAGGGGGTCCCCGAGACAGTCCAACACCAGAGCTCAGGGTGAACTGGGGGGAGATTTTGGGGTGTCTCTGAGACCCTCCAACCGTGGTGCTCAGGGGGGGATTTAGGGGGTCCCCGAGACAGTCCAACACCAGAGCTCAGGGTGAACTGGGGGGAGATTTTGGGGTGTCTCTGAGACCCTCCAACCGTGGTGCTCAGGGGGGGATTTTGGGGGGTCCCCAATACCTTCCAACCCTGGTGCTCAGGGAGGGATTTGGGGGTCCCCAAAACCTTCCAACACCGGAGCTCAGGGTGAACTGGGGGGAGATTTTGGGGTGTCTCTGAGACCCTCCAACTCTGCTGCTCGGGGGGGTACTTGGGGATCCTCCAAACCTTCCAACACCAGAGCTCAGGGTGAACTGGGGGGATTTTGGGGCATCCCTAAGACCGTCCAACCCCACTGCCTGGGGTGAGCTGGGGGGATTTTGGGGGGGTCCCCAAGATCTATCAGCTCAGGCTCACCGGTACCGTTGCGCACCCGCTCCCGCAGCTCCTGCAGCCGCGTCAGGTTCCTCTCCAGCGCCAGCGCGGTGGTGTTGACGTAGAGGTACATGTAACAGGAGGGTTCCGCCGACACTGTGTGCACTTTGTGGTACTGCCCCGCCGGCAGCTGGGCAGGGACGGGGGGGACACCATCAAGCATCCCTTGGGGACACCCCAAAAACCCCCTTTGATGTCCCGTCCCGTCCCGTTACCCCCCCCGTCCCCCAGGACCTCACCTGCATCCCTTCGCCCTCCCGCAGGGAACGGTTGCGGTGTTGCTCCACCAGTTCCACCAGTACCTCTCCCCGCAGCACCCGCAGACTGGTGTTACCCAGGTCCTCGCTGACGAAGTTCTCCAGGTGCAAACCTGGAATAAAAAAACCCCAACAAAACGTGGAATAAAAAAAAAAAAAACTGGAATAATAATAAAAAAAAAAGACAAAGCCCCCCCCAAAAAAATGGGTGTCCACCCCCCTGAACCTCAGGGGATCCTCCCCGTCCCCCTCCCTCCATCTCCCTACCGGGGAAATCAGCGATGAAGACGGCGTCCGTGTGTCCGTCCAGTTGGTTTTCCAGTTCCTGCAGCCGTTGCCGCCACGGCGAGAGCTCCAGCAGCAGGGGCA